GTTACACTAAGGTTTCGTGCAGTCGTACTAACGACCGTACCACAAGTGAGGCCATCGCACTCACTCGCAGTACATCCACACGCTTGTGGACGCTCCAAAACGTTCATCATATGGCCATCTGATGAACAAGCGGCAGGCATCATTACCGCTCGATGTTGCCAGTTAACTCGTGGTTCGTACCTTCTGAGCCACGGTATTCCAAGGATGACGTTAAATTTGTAATCCAAATCCAATACGATAAAGTCATCGTCATATTGGGTATCTTCTAGCGTATAGTGGATCTTCACTATACGCTTCATGACGGTTACGGATGCACCTGTCGCAAGACATACCGTCATCCTCGTAGGAGGTGTGTCACACTCAACAAACTTGAAGTGACCATCTTCTAGCGATCGGCGTCGCACAGAATTGTTGGACGCCCCACAATCGACTAGAGCTCGAAGGGACAATTTATTCGTCACTTCGAGTATCAAGGTAATAAGTGAGATCTCATTACCTAGATCAGCAACGCACAATGTTTGTGTGTTGGGAGCAACCTTCATCAAGAGGCCTGCAAATTCTCTTGACGTTGCTGGACCAGTAGGGTGCTCCGCACCTACTGATCCTGTCCGTTTTTTGACGGTCCATCCCGTTGTTGCGTCTTTGCACCAACAGCGGACCCGCGTCCCTGCCCCTTTCTCATGGGTGGACGGTCATTACGCCCAGTGTTGCGAGACACTGGACGAGGGGCACTACACTCGTAAGCGTAGTGTCCTGTCTTTTGACATCTGTTACATTTCTGCAACTTCTTGCAGTCTGTAGATCGAGCCTTCTCGCTCTCTACACAACAGAGTTCCATTGGCTCTGGACCTCCGTTGTCATATCGTCTCGGTGTACGATATGATGTCGAGCTGGCGCGAGCCTGTCTCAAACTGAAGTCTTCCTGCTCCGCAATGGAAATGGCTTGTTCTAGTGAATCCAGTTCAAGTCGGAACAGGTGAGTCTTGACGGGATCATCTGCAAGACCCTGCATGAACACCGAAACCAACGTGTGTTCATCTACCGGGTTGGAACTTATACAACTCGTGAGATGTCGTATATGTTGAGCGTAAGCGAGTACATCGCGCTTACCTTGTTTGAGCTTCAAGCGTTCAGTTCGAGCTCTGAACTCAGCTCTAGGCGGTTCAAACGTTTTTCTTAGCCGCGACTTGAAGACTTCTAACGACCCAAACGCATATGGGTTGTGCAACTTGAGCCCCAAAGCCCAAGTCTTGGCACGTCCTGCCAGATTTAATTGGGCAAATGCAACTTGCATTTCCTCGTCGTCGATGCGACGCGCCCTTATGGTGCTGTATAATTCGACCAACCATCTCAAGAGGGAGTCCTCTTCGACTCTCCTATACTTGGAGATGCCAATCTTCAAGGTCTCGGGCGCGAGTGCATCGACCCAGCAGCAGCGGCCTGCTGCTGTCTCAACAGTTCAAACTGTTGATCACCCTGTTCTCTCAACAACTCTGATTGTTGAGAACCTTATTGGTGAAGCAAGGCTACTTTCTCGCGTTCAGCGTCAAGTTCATTTTGGATGACCTTGGCGATAGTAGCATGTTGTGCATCTCTATTGAGAGCCTCTAGCATGACGCTAACAGCATGGATGCCCATGGTTGAACCATCCGTTCAATCGCATCCCTATGGACATAGCTCAAATGGGTGTAGCCGTCACGCGTAGCGTGAAAGCATTGGTCATCTTCACCACCTAACAAATTCCTTGGACGGACTACGAAGTGCTACCAGGTGTAACGGGGCACCCTGAAGCTTGTACTGGTGACAGTACAAGCTACTTATTCTGATGACAGAATAAGGTGGTGCCTCGTAACCTCACGTACACTCGTACGTGCAGAGGAAGACGGTAAGAAGAAGCGAGTACTTGGTAAAGTAAAAAGTAGAACTGTATTTATAATAGTTAATGTCTGCAATAAATCACTGTTTTTCTTCATCTAACTATGTCTGAATACAAATGTGCATATCAACTATCTGCTCACCACTCATTGCGTGCGTCTCTCGTGGCGCGTCTTCGTTGGTTAATATAATGGTCTATATCAACCAATTAGGAACTACTCGTAAGTGCTACAGAATATTTGTCCTTATGAAAATATTCTGAGAATATAACTCTTGTAGTTATATTATATTAGTATTTTCTTATAAATTGTTATGTAACGGTTCACCCCGTTACACTAGATGCAAAGTATGGTTTAGTTAATAACAGCAAAATCGATGACAACTAAGCGCTGTTTAAACGGCGCACACGTACAAGCCATTTTCTTAGACGCCCATATTGTGCTGGTCCTGCGTGGTGCGCGACAACGGCGCTCAGGATGTTATTTCCTTGCTCGCACATAATGGACCATGTGGCTGCTGGTCACAGATCTGAGTGTATTGTAGATCGAGCTTTCGTCGCTTGCACAACATTCTTTTACAGGTTTAGTATCTTGTGACAAGTGTCGCGTTTCACGCCACATTTATTAGGTCACAAACGGTGGCAGAGGTAGGGGAGTGTGCATGCACATGAAGCCAAGAGATAATACTGGCGAATACGGGTGGCGCCGGCATAAAAACACTTAGTTACAAGGAAGCTACTTCGTGCACGATGTGTATGACATGACAAATTTGTTCGCTTCACCAATCATTAACTGCATTTTTAATCCCTTTTTCTGCGATGCCGACATCGCAGACAAGCAGATTGCGACAGAACCACTATCACATTTTGTTCTTGTCATATTATTAGAACCGACAAAACAATCGTTGCAATATCCGTTTTTGTCGAAGTAAAGCTAGAATCGCGTTACGAGCCAGTAAAACTATCAGCTGTTATGAATTAGTAGAAAACGATAGTTGTTACCAATCAGAAGAAAAGTTGTTACATCCCAGTAAAAAAAACGATTGTTACGAGCCAGTAGAGATAATCCAGTAGTGTCTGGTCATCAAAAGACTTAGAGATCGCAATTTAGTTTGCGAACTAAGGACCTCAGCTTTTTTCACTTTGAAATGTTCAATCGAGCACAACAGCGTCTTAAGCTTCAGATACAATAAACCATTGAGTTTGTATCATTTGAGGTAAACTATCGAACATCTGTGACACCGATGGCAGCTCCTATTTTGGATTCTTTGGCTGTTGTCATACCCACTAATGGGGTGATTGTACGGACTGTATAGCTGATGGAGTCATTTTTGTTTAGTCCAGATGCGCTGCTTGCGTTTGATCATGTCTGAGGATTTGATGTGAATGTTGTGCATCGACCAACGTGAGTGCGAGGGCCCTGCAATGTGTCATTACTGCATACAAAGAAGAGGCGTCTGCAATGTCGATACTTTAATTTTATACATACAATCTAAAGTTTACTAGCGCTCATCTCTGACTGTCTTTTGATCATTTAACTTCTCGTGTCTACTGCTGTTCGCGTGGCACGATCTTTTTTCTCTCAATGGCCGGTCTTATGTCCATGTTACCTCGTATTGTGCTCGTTTGTGGCGTAAATTCGAGCGGGTACAGATGGGTTGGCAAGAACGAGACATTACAAGAAAAGCAAATGAACTCTAGTTTTGATGCGGAAGCTCTGCTTTGCGTACGTGCATGAGCTGAAAGGAAAATATACACGTAACGTCTCGCAACCACGACACTTTTTGCACATCAGGTCCCAGTAGTAACTGACTTTCCGACCAATCGTTTCCTAACAGCTGTTTTAAATGAGTAAACGTGAGACTTTTGATGTATCTAGCCGCACATGCCGGAGCCGTGTCCATTGTGAATGTCCAGTGTTTGCACTGTTGCTGCGGAAGGCTTGCCTGAAGACTAAATCTAGATCTGTGAATCATCTAACAATACTAATTTAATGTAGACTGCCAGTGAAAGGTATAAAAAGCAAGCATTGATTGCTTTGAGAAGTTGCCATCGATGGCAGCACGTCTGTGCTTTAAAAGAAGCCGTTCTTAAGCTTTGGTAACTGACAAAACAAGAAGTTTTCGTCCTCCATAGGTATAATGTACTTGTAAATGACGTGCTCGGACTACTTCCAGCAAAGAGAAGCGTTGTCCACGTGTAATGTTCTTACTCATTCGTAAGGAATGCTATAGCGACTTTTGCAAAACAGTATGAAGACGACTCAAATGAGGAAGGTGATACAGCACGACAGCATCGGCACAAAATCAGCTGCTGGTCATGTGAAGGCGTAAATAGAAGCACCCGAGCCGCTTAACTGAAAAAGGGCGGAAGCTCTTCAGTCAGGGCTGCTGTCAAAGATAAGTAAAAGAAAGCAGTGTCTTTAGTGCACCTAAACGGGTTTGCACGAAATTATGGTACTTTGTACCAGAGGTGTTACACACCTGAGGTTACCCCTTTGTGAAGGTGATATAGAATATCTTATTGGTTTGTAGGGGCTGACGAGTGTCAGCCAATAGGTACGAAAGATCTTTGAGTAGGATTAAGATATTCTATAAGCTTTAACGAAAATAAAATCAGTTCCCATTTTGATCTAAAGGACACGTGGCTTGCGAGCCGTCTTGGTCGTTGATCACTGATCACTAAGAGTAAGCAACACCTCCTTGAGGTAGCTACTCTTGAGCACTGAGTGCTGTCGATTCACTGAATCGTTAGGTCCCCTGGAACAGGCATCTGAAGCTGTAAAGCTTGTTGACTCGTAAAGTCATTAGTTCTTTAAAATTATGTTGCTCGTAGAGCGTTAAGTCATCCTCTGACTTAAGGAGCTGTGTAGCTCTGCTACACTTGGTAGCACTCGTTGTCAATATACGCCTGAGACTTTAAGACTGATCCTCTGTGAGGATGGAAAACTACAATCCCCTATTTAAGCCCCAAAAGGTCGCACTTGATAAGCTGACCGCATCTGTGGGTCCAGAGTACGTGGGGCTCCTTGTTTCACAAGGTCCTGAAGTGCTTAATGCACGTGTTGAAGGCTTCATGCAGTTTAAGCGACCCTTTTAGGGCAGGTCCAAGACCAATAGCGTCGGCTATGCCTACCCGCTACGTGTATGTACCAGACGAAGAGACTAAGCCTCGTCCACTTAGAGTGGAAGTGAAAAACTACTCCGGTAAGGAGGGTGAGAACCTCATCCTCTGGATCCGTGAGATTGAGATGGCCCTGGGACAAGGCTTGATCACGCTTGACCATCAACAGGTCTTGCTGGCTATCTCGAAGCTCGATGGTAGAGCTAGAGAATGGGCCTTGACGTGTAGCACGTCGGTGGACGTAGCGTTTCCCACATGGGAGTCGCTCAAGTCACAATTGGTACAGGTGTTTTTTCCACCTAACCAGGCTTACCGCGTGCGCTCACGCTTTCTTTCTACCCGCCAGGGTAAGAATGAATTATTGGACTATGTCCAAGAGCTGAGAACGCTCATGGCTGCAATGTAGTCTGACCCTCTGCCTTAAGCAGTCCATGTGACTATCTTCATGGAAGGTCTACGTACTGGCATTGCCAGAACCGAGGTTTTTCGGGTTCACCCCTCACGTTTAAGGAGCCTGTGAGAATTGCTCGTAATGCTGAGCATAACTTTAAGTCGGCCAGACTTGGTTGGAATGGATACAATCCTCGCTTTGTGAGAGCAAACTTTTCGGGTACCACTGCCTATAATAGGCCGGAACCGATGGATCTCAGCTATGCTGAAGATGGAGGTGAAGCTGAGCTTCAAGCTGCTGAGCAGCAACACGTCGTACGACGATGTTTTGCGTGCGGAAGCACTAAACACTTGCGGCCTGGTTGCCCTTTGCGTAAGCAACGCCAGGCTACGAGCCAACACTCGACCCCGAGTCAGAAGTCTGGCATGGCACGGGGAAACGCCGACACCCAGTAGGCGCGGGGCGCCCCACTGGGGAAGAACTAGGTTCTGTTACACCTTTAGAAGGTAAAGGAATAAAGGGCTTAGCCCCAAAGAGTACCATACCTACAGGTACGGTGCGTGGATACAAGTTTGGCTTGTTGGTCTCCGAGGCGAAAACTAAGGGCTTTGAGAAGCCTTGGTCGATATTAATCGATTCTGGAGCGTCTTGCAAGTTTGCTCGGCGCCGTTCCCTTGAAAAAGTCAGCGTTATACCGAGGCGCTTACAGCACATGAGGGTGATTCTATCACGGTTCGTTTAGCGACTGGAAGTCGCGTAACTGTGTTTAAAGTTCCGTCGAACTTAGGAAATTTTTTTTGGACTTTGACAGTATTGAGCGCTGTCTTGTCCTAGATTTGGACTCGAGATATGATCTCATCCTAGGTATGGCTTGGCTTAAACGACATGAGCCTGGATTGATTGGAGGTCTAAGACCTTAGGCGCTACGCGCGATGTTCCTAGCGAAGCTTTGAAGAGTCATGAACCCACCTTCGCTAGGCAACAGAAGCGCTATTGGCGCGAGCCTTTGACAGAAGATGTCAATGTGCTGGATATTGGAATGTCTGAGTTATCTAAATCCAATGTTACAAACATAAGTTTCGAGCCCAGCTCGTCTAAAACTAGTGAAACGGCACGTACTCCGTTGAGTGTTACTCGTTGTGATAACGAGTCACTGCACGCTGAAAGCATGGTTGGCCTAGGGCCGAGTGATCAAGGACGTGATTCCTTTGATGTGTGTATGGTGGCACGTGAAACTACACCGAGTGCGGTCGGCCGTGAGAGCACCGCACTGAATGTCGGTAGTGACATTGTTGGCCATATGCCATTTAGTGTGGGCGGCCGTGAAGGCACCACGCTTAACGTCGGTAATGGCGTTGTTGGCGATTCGCCATATAGTGTGGGCGGCCTTGAGGGCACCACACCTAATGTCAGTAATGATACTGTTGGAGATACGCCGTATAGTGTGGACGGCCGTGAGGGCACCACACCAAATGTCAGTAATGACCTTATTGGCGGGACGCCGTTAAATTTGGGACTAGGCCCGCATGATACACGTGGAGTGGCACGTTTCAATTCACTGGGTGAAGTGTTCGAGTTATGTAACACTTCACCAGATGTCGGTCAAGACAAAAGTTCTCGTATAGAGCGTACTATGGTTAGTAGTAACCATGGGGACAATATTGTCCCGACCCCTAAGGGGTGTAAGGTCTCGAAGAGACGATCGAGACGCCGAGTAGCAAATTTTAAGCGCCAGGCGTCCTCACAGTCACATAGTGATAATAGTAATACGCTATATACACTTGTTAATGGAGTGACTGGTCAGGTTGATGGCAGTGTTTGCCTTGAAACCCTTCCATATGTGGACGCTCTTTGTGAGCTAGACGAAATGTCTGATGGCGAGTTTAGGTAGGCCTTGAAGGCAAAAGAGTTATCCGAGGTAGCGGTCATTAGACCTGATACTGAGTTGAATTCTTCCTCGTTAATAGATGAGTCGGTCCTAGAGGATACAAAGGCGGCACTTAGTGCACAAAGTGGATCTTCGATCCTTAAAGATCCTTTGGATCCGTTCTATCCTTTAGTTGAGGAATTTCAAGATGTGGTGTGTCACAACCCACCTTCTGCCTTACCTCCCGATAAGGTGTACGTAATGAATTTGACTTAGTTCCTGGAACTTAATACTGTGTAACACGGTAGTGTCCTTTGCCTAAAGAACAGTGTGACGTCATTGAAGAATTCTTTCGTGCTAAGCACGCGGCTGGAATGGTTCGTGAGAGGAAGTCTCCCCATCTAACACCGACATTTGTGTCAAAAAGCCAGATGGCAAGTGGCGTATTGTGCATGCTTACAATAAGCTTAATGCAGCCACTATACCGGCGCAGACGCCTATTCCTAAGAAAGGATGTGCTTCAGGACAATATGGCAGGATGTACATTGTACACGTTGACTTAGTCGATGGTTATTACCAACTGCTTATGCGAGCAAGTGATATTTCGCTAACAGCGGTGAGTACTCCGAGCGGTATGCTCTGGGAGTGGCTTGTTATGCCACGAGGGCTATCTAACGCCCCGGCTACGTTTAACCGGCTGGTAACGCAACTATTCAGACCTCATCGAGGCTATGCACAAACGTACTTTGATGACATTTTTGTCCATAGTCGTGCAATGAACGGGCGATCATATGTGGATAACCACATTGATCATTTACGAGAGGTGCTCGAGTGTATGCGAACGAATAAGTTGTATGCTAACGCATCGAAGTGCATCTTTAGTGCAAAAGAGATTCCATTTCTAGGGTGCTTCATTGGGAAGTGAGGCCTTCGAGCGGATCCCGCTAAGGTGAAAGCCATAGTCGATAGGCCGGTTCCCAAGAACCAAAAGGACTTGCGTAAGTAGCTTGGCCTTGCCAATTACTTACATAAGTACAGTGCGAATTACGCAGATATGGCTCGGCCGTTGTCCAACTCCTTAAAAAGGATGTGGATTGGTGTTGGGGTTACACCGAACGTGATGCTTTTGAAGTAGTTAAGGAGAGTCTCCTTCATGCGCCAATATTGTCTTTGCCCGATCCTGGTCGGCCTTTCAGTGTCGTATGTGACGCATCTGACTTTGCCATAGGCAGTGCTCGGTTACAAACAGATTTCGACAGACGCAAACGCGTCATTGCATTCGAGTTTCGGCAGCTGAAAAATGCTGAAAAGAACTATCCTGTTCATGACAAAGAGCTACTTGCTATGAAGTACGCTCTTGTCAAATTCAGAGTACATCTGCTTGGCTCCAAGCCGTTTGTGATCTATACAGATCATGCGTCATTACGCACTGCGACACAGTCGCTTCATCTCTCACAGAGAATGGCTCGTTGGCTTTCCTTCTTTGCCGAATTTAACTTCGAGGTGAAGTACAAGCCAGGTAAGCAAAATGCTTTGGCTGATGCGCTATCGCGTCGACCTGACTATGAGCTTGCTCATGTTACGACTCTGTCGTCGTCAGTCCCTGACTTAATTTGTGCGTCTTATGCCAAGGATGATCAGTGTGTAGCTTTGCTACGTGCTCTTGGGAGCAATGAGTTTAAAGACTCGGACATCGAGTTGTCAGCACGTTTACGTGCGAGGCTACATCGATATTCCAACGATAATGGCCCGTTGTGCTATCGCACGGATATTGAGGATAAGCCTCGTATCGCTGTACCTCATGATGAGAAAAAAAGTATCGAATTCTCTATGAGGCACATGATACTGCTTTAAGTGGTCATCTCGGTCGTGAGAAGCCTTATAGCTCGGTGAGCCAAAGTTATTGGTGGCCTAAACTTTATAAGTGGGTGCGCACCTATGTGCGTACGTGCGAAACGCGTCAACGATTTCCACCCTCGGCACATGCTGCGGCGCCACTGGATAGTTTGCCAGTACCCACTGGTTTTCGAAAGTCCATGAGCATGGATTTTGTGTTTGGCCTACCGAAAGATTCGAAAGGCAACACTAATATTGTTGTCTTTGTTGACCGATTAAGCAAGATGGCTCACTTAGCGGCTGTGCCGGATAGTATCGATGCTGAAGGTACAGCAAAGCTGTTTATCGACCGTGTGCTTCGCCAACATGGCTTGCCGGTGGCAATTGTCGCTGATAGAGACCCCCGCTTTACTAGGAAGTTTTGGAAGTCTACCTTCAAGGTGCTTAGCACTCGGTTGGACATGTCCATAGCGGATCATCCGCAGACCGACGGTCAAACTGAGCGTGTAATCGCGTCATCAACGACATTTTGCGCAGTATTTGCGCTGATACGCCTAGGCGTTGGAGCTCAATGCTCCCTGTTGTTGAGTTTGCGTTGAATAACGCTGTTCATGCCTCAACTAACTTTGCTTCGTTCTATGTAAACGGTCTCACTCATCCTCGCGTTCCACTAACGCTATCACTACGTGAATCAGGGCTTGGTGAGGGAGAGGTGCCGATCGGCTTGCTGTTATCAACCCTGATACTGTTCAAAAACAGGTAGGCGGGTTTCTCGCAACGCGATTGAACGTCTTTAGACATGTGCGTGACGCAATGGCTGATAGCCAAGATACCCAAAAACAACAAGCTGATGCCAAAGGCAGAAATTGTATTGAACGTTATGAGGTCGGAGACCAAGTACTACTCAATGCTAAATATCTACCTACAAATGTAGTGTCTGCTGTTTTTAAGACTAAGTTGTGTCCACGCTTTATTAAACCATTTACGGTCACGGCCAAGAAGGGACTTGCGTGTACGCTATACCTTCCGCGCAAATTGCGCACACATCCAGTGTTCTACGTAGGCTTACTTAAGCCGTACCGGGATCCTTCCCATGTGAACTTGGAGGCGCTTGCGCCGACAACAAGGGCACTGCCCCGGATTGATGTAGGCAAATCAGCAAGTCCCACTGAGCCTCGCTCCTAGTTTGAGCTTGCTCCATCGCTTGAAGGCGGCTTTGCATCGCATCCAGCATGCACTGGGACTTACCCAAGGCCTCTTGAAGACCCTCCACTTCGAAAACCAATTTCTCGTGGGCATCCACCGGTACACCGGCCGCCACCGACTTTGCTCGATAAGCATGGGTGTCGTCAATTTCATGTCGAGAGACTACTGAAACGACGTCGTCGTCAGGGCTAACACCAGTATCTGGTAAAGTGGCAAGGGGAACCTGAGTCTGGTAACTCATGGGAGCTTGAGGTACCCCTTCGGCAAGACTGCTCATGTGCTTTGGATGCTTTTGAGCATCGTGGCCATGGTCATCTCGAGACCGAGGCCGTTCCCCACCACTAGTGGTGCGGGTTGGCGGGTTGTTGGCCACAGACTGACCAGCACTCGCGGCTACCTTAGTAGCCGAAGCATAGCGCGTGCGCTTGCGCAATTGGCCTCTGGCCTTAAGCTTGGCATAATCATACCGAAGCTTGCGTTCGAGACGCACATCCGCCGCATGGACACTAGCCCTTAGAGCAACAATGTTGATGAGGCGACGCACATAGTGCACCCAATGAACGAAGGCTTCGCTCACTGTTTCGCCTGCGAGCAAGAGAATGGGTATACCCTTGATCGGTGGAACCGGTGCACCACGTGCTTGCATGTCAAGGCTTGCCTTGTATTGACTTTGAGTCGTTAGGTGCGGCTCCAGGTACCTCTCACGAAGTGCCTGGCAGCTCACCACCTCCTCAAAAGTCTTAGGCCCATGGCCAATGACCCACGTTGCCAATGCTTGGCCGGCCGCTTGACGTAGACGTGCCTCCACACTGGATGGGGTGAACACATAGTCACGCTGGCGTTCAAGGGTTGCAGCCATTTGTACATAACGCTGAGCGTTTTATTCTCTTTGGACAAGCAATTGTTGTTGCTCATCGAGCGGGTTCGTGATGATAGTCTCATCAGACCCAGATGCTGCATGCTGCGCTGGTGGCGCGCTCGTACCTCCACGTTCAGCGAACGGATTTGGGGTGTTCGAAAGTTGTGCCTCAGGCATCAGTGAGCCGGACATTGTCCCTGTATCACCGCGGACACTGGTATCGCTACCATAGTCCACCTCCTCCTCTATCCCGAGGTAGTCACACAGAGCCTTTGACTCGTTTGGTGATGAGGACATCGTGCAAGAGCGTACGTTACCGTGAAGTTCACCGTACGCGCACTGTTCTCGCTGAGAACACAAGTTCGATTGACGTTTTGGCAAACGTCACTCTGGTGGGGGAGGGTGTAACGGGGTTGCACGAAATTATGGTACTTTGTACCAGAGGTGTTACACACCTGAGGTTACCCCTTTGTGAAGGTGATATAGAATATCTTATTGGTTTGTAGGGGCTGACGAGTGTCAGCCAATAGGTACGAAAGATCTTTGAGTAGGATTAAGATATTCTATAAGCTTTAACGAAAATAAAATCAGTTCCCATTTTGATCTAAAGGACACGTGGCTTACGAGCCGTCTTGGTCGTTGATCACTGATCACTGATCACTAAGAGTAAGCAACACCTCCTTGAGGTAGCTACTCTTGAGCACTGAGTGCTGTCGATTCACTGAATCGTTAGGTCCCCTGGAACAGGCATCTGAAGCTGTAAAGCTTGTTGACTCGTAAAGTCGTTAGTTCTTTGGAACTAAGTCGCTCGTAGAGCGTTAAGTCTTCCTCTGACTTAAGGAGCTGTGTAGCTCCGCTACAGCACCACAGTAGCATTAGATCACCACAATTCAAGAAGCACCTTCGACAACAAGTTTGAGTAATGTGGCTACTCTGATGAGGTACTGGTCACAAGTACTGCTTCAGTACTAGTGCACCTACACTGACAGCAGTATAGGTAATGCCGCGCGTCACGTCACGTACACCGTACGTGCAGAGGAATGCTAGCTAGTGAATGACGCGTTCAATAGGAGTAGAAAGTAAAACTGTATTGAATATAGTTTAAACCTAATCATCGATCTACGATTTAGTCCTGCTTCATTATATTTATCTACAAAAGTGTCTGCTAAAGTCTTGCTCATCTCTCATTGCGCGCGTCCGTCGTTGATTGGACCGCTAGAGCTGGCTGATATGGTCCATATCAGCCAATTGGTGAGCATTTCTGAATATTACCTCTAATGGTAATATTCACGAATATGATCAACCTTTACGATAATATTCTGGTTAACAAGCATCAAGATTAATCACATGTTACAGGCTCACCCCGTTACAGCTACGACTAAGGCACCGTGATTGAACTATACGGCTAAGCAGAATGTCTAGTCCGTACAATCCACGTTCTAGCCGCTTGGGAAAACTCTGATGGAGAGATTTGATTGCATTTGGGGCTTGTAAGCTAAGTTTTGCGTCCAGAAGTGTGTTCGGTGTGTTACTCATCCCGACAAAGTCTTTTACTTGGTGTCAGAATCTATTCGATAATGCACCAGTTAAATGTAGCATGTTGAAGTGCCCTGACAAAATAAAGCCGGCACCGACTCAATTGCCCACATCGTCACGTGATTTGAGAACACGAGAGTGCTCAAAAGCGATGGGACGGGTCTTTGAGGAGTTTGTCGACAGCTCCTGCGTCTTCCGCTGTGCCGAGTGTAACGCGCATTTGGCTCGCTACGAGGATATCATCTCCAAGGTCACAAGAGATCGTCACAAATTCCGTCGTTTCATGTCTTGTAATCGGTACTTTTCTAAACTCGCTTTTCAATATGTGCGACGTTTCGCGTAGAAATTCCAAGGCACAAGCGGCAGAGCCTATCTCTTTGACGCAGCGTGAGTTCGCTGACTCTTGTGTTTTACAGTTCTCCAAGCCTTTTTCCTCATTGAACCCGCTTGTTCAAATGACCAGAGTCAATGTCAGTACAGGTCCACCTGAAGAGCGAATGCTCATGACGGGGCTACACGTCGTGCTGGACCTCTATTGCAACACGTGCTGGGGTGTTGTGGGCTGGAAATACGTGCGTGTGCGTTCTGCGTCGTTTAATTGTTCACGACTGACTGACTCTTTACGTCACTGTCTCCATAATCTTTTGTACTCGGGCCTTATCTATGTGTTTCTCGCGGGAGCTCGTGCCTACATGCAGAAAGAAGCACACAACGCATCGGAAAAGTACAAGGAAGGTAAGTTCATTCTCGAGTTAGCCAAGACGGACCAGAAGCCCTGAGAGCAGTGCGGAGCTTACAGCAACCAGTCAAGAAGAGAGAAAAAGTAAGAGCTCCAGATACAGCGTGCACGATACACGAGTAGCGAGCACCCGCACATGTCCTTGCTCGATCAAATGAATTCTTTGTCGTGTACGTGAGCATTCGTGTACGCTGGTGTTCTTCTTGTCCATCGCTTTGTTTCCTTTGCTGGAACCTTTTTATAGAAAGCCACTCGTGTACCGTTGCTGTTCCAACTCGCACGGGGAATAGTAGTGCGCTTCAACTTGGTTACCACCAAAGAATCGGCCGTGTAGCGCCTGCTTGGCCTTGGAAGCTCCAGTTGCATCGTCAAACACCACAAAAATGCGCACGTGGTCGGCCAGCTCATGGATTTCCACTTTCTTGACGACACCAAGCTTGCCGCACTCGACACGCACCTCGTCTTCGAGTTCGTCGTCTACTTCACCGCACTTTACGAGGTTTACTAAACAGAGGCAACACTTGTCATTGCCATCTGCAACGTCCTTCACACCCTCAACGTCATCTTCTGCAAAGATTGTCAATTGTTTCGGCTTGATTGGACCGTTGGCTCCATCCACCGTAGCGCCGGGTCCACTGCGTACTACCTTGTCTCGGCTCGTGGCAAGATTGATCAGCATAGCTGCTTCACTCGCCTTACCCACTTTAAGGGGCTGACCAGCTAGCTCGAAACCGTTCATGTGCTGGATAGCATTGAGTGCGCAGCCTTCCTCCATGAACTCCATAAAGCCGTACTCGCGGTGCTGGAACACAACGCAAGTTAAGACGAGTATCATAGAAGTCTTGCTAGAAAAATGCTTTTGCTTACTATTCCAGATTCAACGGGTGGAACCGCTGCCATGACGCATGCACGAATAGCGCCAAAAGGAGAGAAGATACTCTGCCAAACCACTTCCATCAAAATTACGCACACAACACTCACAACCCATGACAGTGCACTGACCTCCAAGTGCTGGCTGTTAAGCTCCACACGAACATTGGCAACATAGACGCACTTTGTGGGCACACTGTCACAACAAAAACACATTGGCAACCGCCATTCCAGCCAATTCTCCACGTCAGCACTTACTTCTTGATCGCCTCCTGTCCGATCGAAAGCGAATCACTCGGATTCGTATTCCCACGATGTGGTCGGCCCACCTACACCCCGGAGAGATAACACGGTAACATAAAATTTGCTGCAGCGAGACCCCTCATCACTGAAATACCCACTCGCATCATTCGGTTGGCCAACGGTGTTCCATTTAGCACTTGCACCGCACTCTCAGCTGCTAGAACGTCTTCGTACTCTAGAAAGCAGAACCCCTTGGACCGCGACGCACTGCACCGATCATCCATCACAAAGAAAAACAGAGAGAAATAAAATCATTACAACAAACATCCACAGAAAATAAGAGCAGTGTGCAGCTGCCTCCTTGCCCTGGCTCCAGTGACAGATCGATGGAATGAATTACGCCGAAAGGTGCAAAAGCGTTGCGAATATCTTCTTCCTTGAGGTCGTAGTACAGATTGCCAATGTACAGCCGACGTGCCAGATCATTAGGCGAGACCTTATTATCAGGCAGATTCAGAGCCAACAAACTGGCTTGAGCCAAAGCCCTCGCTTTGGCAGCTTGTGCGTCCAATTGGCCGCCAGCATCCTAAGCAACAGCATAGACACGAATATGAAACTAAAGCACGGGGACAAGAGCATCAAATACCAAACAGCCGCCACGTCGTTGATGGTTGAGCGCCGAGCAGTAGAGTCGATCGAGATAAAAGCTAGATATTACAACAGATCGCAAACTTTGTACTCACAATGAGAGGGCGACTGACAGCGCCTTTTGTCAGCGCCTCCAGCTCCTCAGGTGCCGATTTCTCCTGGACGACGCTCGACAGCCGCTTGACAATGTCATTCAACGCTTTCGGACTCGCAACCGTCTTGTCCGTCTCCACACGAGCCGTTTCTTTGTCGTTGACGCTGTCGTGGTCCCAGCGCGAGCGACGCGAACGCTTCGAGTGCTCGCGGTCGTCGCCGTCGTCAGTCTTGTGCACGCGTTTCATCGTACTGGTAGTTAGTTATTGTGTATACTCCGTATAATTGGTTCATGTAATATTTCAATACCACCGCTTGTTTCCCAAAACTCACGTTACTATTTTGCAGCTGATTTGTTTCCCAAAACTCACGTTACATTTTTACAGTTGATAGAAAGAGGTAATTCGTCGACTGACACAATGTGCGTATTCAACGACTGCGTGTGTTTTTACTTGCTACGTAACTACCTACCTACCCCGAAATGAGGATATCGGCTGACCTCACTTGCCAGCTCGGGACGTTTACTAGCTCATGTCAGCTCAAGCGCTACTATCGGTTGCGGATATCCAGTCTACCCACGAATATCTTCTCGAGGGTGCAGCAGACTTCGGCGTGACACGGAGAGCGAAAACAGCGTAAATTCCTCTTCTTCGTCTGCAAACATATCGAGGTTCTCAGTGCCAAAGTTGTTGCCCGGGGCATCTACCTCATCGACGTGAAAACCGCCACCATTCTCCACTGCTGTCGGCGACTCGATCGAGCTCAGTCGCGTCAAGCGGCGGTTCATCTGCATCAACGTGCGCGGAGACACCATGCCGTGCGCCAGTTCATACAGCTCGGCATTGGACAAGGCGCCATCGTGTAGACCCTTCCTCGTCGCGCGGCCTGCATTCGCACCATTTGTGCTACTTTGGTTCCGTGGTGTGAGATGAAACAGATTGAAAGGCTCGACCTCAGCGTGTGCACCACCATGAGCTTCAAAACACGCGCGGCAGTGTCGCACCGGATGCAGCAAACCCACTTCGGGAATCGACATGCGCTGCGACGCGCACTTAGCACACATCCACTTTCCACAACGCTTGCACGAGTGCGGTCGACGAAAGAGCTTGAATGGCATTTTGCACGTCGGATCCTGACAGTGCGTGACAGTCTTCTTGTCGGGCTTCTTTAGCTTCTGTGACAAAACTAAATAATCGCGGCCCATCTCGTGAATAACATCCGCCGCCTTCGACAGCAGCTCTTTCCACAAATCTCGATCTTCTAATTTGGTGACACTGAAATGCATCTCCTTTGCCGATACCTTGCTCTCCTCATCGTTTTGCTGGTGATCGTATGCTTTGATGTAAAGACCATGATGGCCCACTGACGTGTGCGTCTCGTCCTGACCGTGTGTGTAACGACTGCGGACGGATAGCGGAACGATCCATTTCCACTTGATCGCATGGGTCTCGTCTACTTCATTCGGATAAAAATACCACAGCTTATGCGAGTCGTATTCGTACACGACGAGCGCTTTCTTCCACTCGCGTCCACCGTAACGTTGTTTAAACAAGTATCCGAAAGCACAGCCATCACCCTCTAAGAAGGAGGAGCCAAAGCCGTGCGCGGTGGAATAGCTCGGCCGAATGATGTGGTTGATAATTTCTTCTTGAAACGTCGGATGTGCGGGTGCAGCACATCCATTTGACACGGTCGTCGAGTTTAACGCATTTGCGGGAGGTGTTCCGGTATTCAAGATGCAGCTGGAAGGATCCTTCTTTGCCAGATCATCCGATGCCTTTATCAATTCCCGCCATACTGGATTGACCTTCATATCACATTGAATACGTTCCTGACTCCTTGTTTTCGGATCCTTGTAGCACATCTTAAGAGCTTCCATAATCAGCTTCAGATTAGACATAGCATCGGTACCCACCATGCTGCCATGGTCCCCTCCCTCACTGCTACCGGCCGTATCTCGGTTCAAATATACTTTGCAGAGCAAAGGCGCCAATTTTGCGTCCGGGCCCTCGGTCTGCAGGATACGCCCAATGATTGGACACCTGCGTGAGCGCTTATTTTTTAAATCGCCGATGCAAAATATCAACATTTTAGTGATTTCACCAAGCAGCAGATTCCACATCGGGTATTTCTCATAGCACGTAATGAGCGTGGTGATCACATGAGCACCTACGAACATCCGGTCCAAACGCTTCGATTCGTTCGACAACACGGAGTTGAAACATTGAACAACCAGCCAGAGATGAAAGCCCGATACTTTGCGGGTGTTAAAAGTGATAACCTGCTTCAGAAAAACCATCAGCTCGTGTCCTTTGCGCTCCATACATGTGATTAGGCACTCGCGCAACCGACGATACTCGCGCACATTGCTGCGCCAGTCATCACTACAGAAGATTTCCAATTCATTCAAATCACCGTCAATCACTGCCTGCAACAGAGTCATCCACGCTTGCTTTTCTTCATCAGATGACGCTGCGAAGTACTCGGTAGATTTCACTTCCATCATTAAATTATCGTCTTGTCCGCTACGACGTTGGTGATGTACCATCGCGTTCGCAGGAGTCTCTTGAGTTTGGCGCGAACTTGATGAGTTCTTACACGCATCTTGTACTATTTTCTTCACAGTCACGCTGAAACCAAAGTTGTGCCACTTCGAGCTTTGTACACTCTCCATCTCGTCCAACGTAATTACAACCTGATTGCCTAGAGCCGGAGTAAATGCTTGGTCCAGACTGGGTGACGAGCCTTGCTGATCTTCGCGCAGTGCTGTCATCCGGAGTCCCATCATGCAGTTCAAACTCACCTGACATAGCTGCAGCTCGTTCTTCAGTTTTTTCTTTACCAGCAATTTGCCCTTACGCATAAGGTGCGTAGAGCACAAAAAGTTGAGGCAGTCAATACCCACGGATGTTGCCGGATTGCCGCCTGCGCTCCGCGCGTCAGTAAATTCTATTGTCTCGGTTAGCTCAAAGAGATGCATCAGCATCATGATACACGTCGGGCGCGGGTGGCCCTGCGACAGCAGCATCAGGGACTCAAGGGAAGCTACACTGCCTTGCCGCTCACGTGTCAGCGGTATGCTCCAGAACGTCAGCTCTTTCATCATCTGCACAAAAAGTAGCTCCAGTGCCGCCTGGTGCTCCTGCATAAACAAGTGGATAAGACGACGCACCTTGCGCGACGTGTATTTTCGCAACGCTGAGTTGGCGGTCTCACGCGAGGCACCGCAGATCGACACGTACTCATCCTGGCCAGTAATCTTGTCCAGCGGGATGGTCTTAGCCGAGATTGCTACACCGCGTCCTGTCAAATACGGTGCATGGACGATCTCTCGCAGCAACATAAAGGTGTTCTCAATGCAGTCTCGCTCAAAAGCGTTGCGTGGCGGCGAAAAGGTCACCTGTTTCTGAATCAACTTCTGCATCATGTGCGTTTCAAACAGCGACGTGATGGCCGCCTCCGAGTGCTCTGCGTAAATGAGGTGCAGGAGCAGCGTGCGGATATCATCATGGCCGACATTGGCCAGCAGCATGTCTACCGTCGCAGGATGGTCGGCCAAATAGTGCAAGATGCAGGCTCCTTTCTGTCCTCTAATAGCAAAGTAGCGCAAGATCTGCGACGCAAAGTTGGCTGAGTCGTGGCCAAAGATGCCGTACATGGCGGTTGCATTCACTTCGGTCGTCAATGGGGCTGGAATGCCCGTATCATCTGGTTCTTCCACGTCCAACCCCTCTCCATTGTCCGATATGACCTTACTCTTGATCTCCGTGCTACCCCGTAGCACATTGTCGTCTCTTCTCTCTCGTGCACCAAGCAGCAGTAACTCGCCATTGACAGGCGACTGCAAAGGAGACTGAACAGCTCGAAAAAAGCCCTTGGTACCATCATTCTCCGATGCCGTCGGCGAGCTCGCCGACGATCTCCTTCGGTCAGCCAGCTGCTTTTGCTGCTGCTTTTGCTGAGGCTCTCGCTCATCTAGTATCTTTTCCTCCTTCTTCTTCTCAATCTCCTCCTCGTGGTCGGCAAAACTCTGCTGCAATGTCTGGGCCCCGTCCTTCTCAAACACTTGCACCGCCACTTGGATGAGCTCCTCCATCTCAGCCACCGACTCCTGTCGCTCTTGGCGACGGGACGGCGTGTCGCATTTCGACAACACGCCATCGGCTTCTCGATGCAACGTACAAAACAGAAGGTCCCAGAACTCGTCACACTCGTGCGTGGCGCCCATTGGCTCGCACGCTGCAATGGCATTCACGGCCCCACCCACGACAATGAATTGTGTAGCCATTGCCCGTGTGTGCGACGGGTACGTCACGTCCAGTGCCAAGCGAATGAGCTCCCGCGTCTTTTCCTGGGAGAATAAAATACCACGTAGCCGATTCGTCATGCGCTTAAACAGCAACTCGAGCATCTCGGGCGAAAAGCTCTCGTTCAGGAGCTGCGCGAGCGAAAACTCGTCGCTCATGAGGCCGTCGACGAACTTCTCAATGTTCGCGCGCGTCTGCTCGGCCAGTTGCTGGCGCTCGAGCTGGAGCGGCGTTTCATTGTGCGTGGGGGAAGACGGTTTCGAGCCGGGAGACGGCGTGGCCTCGGGCGATACCGGCATGTGAGTGGGTGGGTGCGTCTGTGGGCGGAGCTCCTCCGACTTGCGTCTGTGACGGGAAATTGAGCAATGGCCGGGAGAAGTGTCGACTTAAAGTGGGTTTTTTATCTTTTTACAGCGACTTTTGGTCGATTGACCCATTGACTGACTTGCAGAGTGTGGCGTGAGACGGCGGGGAGAGAAAGTAGTTTGCATTTTGCATGCAATTTGAGAGGGATTTGGGTATGTTTGTATTAGATTTCGGTATCTATTGGCTGTTGGAAGACTGTGGAGGAAATAAATTACATTTTGGTGAGGTCGCCCTAGTCGAATTTTTAGATTTGCGTGATGTCAAACTCGGATGTCGAGGGTTTTCGATACTTTGGTGCTATTTACTGGTCTTGGGACGTTAAAGCGAGCTTGACTCGCATCCTTGCGAAGCGCAATCGGTGAGTTCGTAAGTATGGTGTCATTTTTACTCACACTGTGTCACCCGGCGTCGTTTCAAAAAATGGAAGCAAAAGCCCGAATCGAAGTAGTGGAAGATGCGCGGTATTCGAAATGTGCAGACCGGATTTGAAGGAGGCCAACTAGAGTCGTCGGCGAGCTGCCCTTTCAGTTTATCCTACAGTTTCAGCTAAAAGAGTAGATGACCACTTAGATTGAGTCCTCCGCTGATGTTGTGTTCAGCTTGCGAATTGTTGTGCCTCGAAGCTGCAGTCACACACGGATCGCATCCCACGAGCAAATCAATGTTTTGCGTTCGACTTCTTTGACGGGTCTCAAAAATGTGTGGACAAATGCTGATATACTTGGACTAAAACAATCGAAGCAGTCAAGCCCGCCATGTTACTTCGGGGTATTGGCTTTTGTCTCGTCACGGACCGACCGTAGACATGACGTCTTTTTTACGGGGTGTTGTTGAATACACCCAACTTTATACTGAGTACACCTCGTGCACCACACCCATACTACACTACAATATTATTTGTACGGCAACCACGCGCCACCATGCCTCTGCTCGGCCACTATCGCACAACGATCAGCATCTATCGGACGAAGGTTAAGCGATCTATCAATCAATCTTTCTTCCACAGGCAAGAGGCCGGTCCTAACGCAATATCGGGATGAACTCGATCGAAACTACGTATAGCTATATAACACAGTTTCTTGTTCGAAGTGGTGATCTTCGCTGCAACGGATGCAACCGAATACATTCGTGACACGTGAACCTTTGTTTCAATCATTTTTGCACCTTTGCCGACTGAAACCTTGGCTGTCATCATTTTTAAACGATGCAAATAGCGTCCCAGATGTATTTGGCGCGGTAGTGATAAGTGCGTGTGGTCGTCAATCAAATTATTTACAAAAGGCAAGAGCTACAGTCGTCGGTTGCAAGCTAATAGAAATTTTCTTGGTAAATCACTTAACCTTTGTACGATAGATGCAGAGTGCTGTGCGATAGTGGTCGTAAAGAGGCAGGGTAGTGCGATATTTGTCGTACAAACCATATTGTGGTGTGGGATGGATGTGGTGCGTGGGATGCATTTAGTTCAAAGTGGAGTGTATTCAGCAATATCCTTTTTGTACAATTTTCATTGGAAAAAATGTGCTGATTTAGACGTAGACAGTGCGAATAATGGCGCACGTGCAAGCCCAAAAGTCATTGCCACTAAAAAAAGGGTCGAAGGAATGTCTTGACACCCCACAGGTCAGCGAGTGTCGCTCACATTGCTTTCGTCAAGTGTAGTCGCTTTGACCTTGGCTAAATTATTGGCACAGGCTGGACCGATGACCTCCAGTCTTACTTCTCCTAAAAAAGTTTGCATCACACAAAGTGTGCTGGGTGAAGTTGCGACTGCGACGTGGTGGATGCGAAAGCGCTTTTGTGCATTTCCACATGTGAAGTTGATGACCGACCGACAGGAGCATGCGTAAGCGCTAACATGATCGATCTATGCTGTCAAAGAACACATAGTGAGCGATCGTGAATTTTAAGATGAGTGTTACATTTGTACCCGGCAATCCCAACGTGTTAGGCTCCCCTTGATACTATACACAGGCTTTTTATGCAAGCAAGAAGCACTGCGTATGCATATCGCTCGCTTTGACTGATGAGGTCCGCGGCCATCATCGAATTTTGTTGGACTGAAAACAAAGCACAAGTAGCGCCATTTGAGAAGACATGTTTACGAAGCTCCAGCGATCATTTAAGCACTTGCAATTTTCCGTTTACGAAGGCTAAAATGATCGCTGAGCTTTATTAACATATCTTTTTAAACGGTGTTACTTATGCTGATTCTTACACGGTATATCTGCGCCTTTGTACCCGCGTCTACAGCCAGTGGCATGGTAAAAAAGGCTCAAACCCGAAGTTTGGTGAAAGCCTTGCGTGGAAGTACTAGAGAAGGCAAACTGCTCTTGACTGTACGAAGAGAATCGGTATAATCGCGGCGAGGGGGTGAGGTGTTGTGTGATGACAATGCGGCAAAGTAAATTTGGGGAAATTACTGAACACATACCGCATCATCTTTACTGGACACTGACAGAGTCCTTTAAATCGCGAAGCAACACAGTGTCGGCTCTAAGGTCCCAAATCCATAATATCACTCATTCTCGCGATCCGCCTCGTGTATCATCCCGACAGTGACGTAGTCGCCGAGCTCGTGTGAATGGATCTTTCGGCTCCCATTTGATAGGCTTAATTTTGTATAACATCAAAGCTATGCGAGAGGCTGATTTGTCAAAAATCAGCATTAAAAGGATTTTGTCTGGCTTGTGAACGAACATGATGCAATATCTACAGACGTGGTCGTTAGTAGTTGTAAAAAGCAACATAAACTACAGGAACGCACGACACAGATGCTACGTCATTTTCGAGCGCTCGACGTGTTGTTTTTGTCATGCGGCAACCGTCTCTCCATTGGTGATCCTTTCAAGCGACGAAGTCTAAATCTGACATTAGGGTTTACCAACTCAAGGCATTCTCTTATAGGCATAACAATGCAAAGTTTCCACTGTACTCGTCTAAACTTTATGCAATGCTCTACCATTTTATTCGACATTGCAAGTGAGCGAAAAGTCTGTCGCAGAGCTTAATACCGCGATTGCTGAAGCTTCTCGGTCTCTCTCTATGGCAGACACCGATACATAAACTACAATTAGCGAGCACACGCTCGCACAGCCGTCCAGATGATGGATCCTTATAAAATTAAACAACCGTATCTGATGATAATCACTGAAGGTTACGACAGAATCGATCGAATACATGCAGCTGAGAAATGCGCGGTTTCGCTTGCGAAGAGAATCACAGTGATTAAGACAGAAGCAATGCAAAGCAGTACAATTGCGGCTCTAAGAAAGCAGTTCAAATCGTAACGAAAAAAAAGCTTTTCCATGGGGTACACGACCTCATCTTAGTCTACATAAATATAAGTTTTGGCAAATGAAGTCGCCCTCGATTCTCAGACTGCATATATTGCGGGGTACAATAGCGACATTCAGCTAGTGACGATTAGCTGGTAAGCTAAGCTCAGCACTGCACTGTAAACTTCTTCGATTGACGCGACATTGTTTAACGGAGTAATCCACTTAGTCATGAAAAAAAAACATTATTGCTAATGTTTAGAAAATATCATAATTTAATACTACGAATACCTGGAGGCGTCTTACATTCATTAAAATGATATTTTTGTATCGTATTTTAAATTATTCAAATAAATTTGTTTTGCTAAAAATCATTTTTTGTTTAAATTTTTGTAACGACCTCTAAATTGAAACGAAAAAAAATTCGTCCCTAGTATTTGAATAAATGTTTTAGCTGTTTCTACATCTCTACCCCCGGAAGTAGAGTAATTTATAATAACTATAAATACTACCGACTTTAGAGTATTATTTACAAAATATAATTTCCATCTTGTTTTTAATTGTATTTATATATTATAAAGTTAAGAAGGTTGCATTTCTGATAGAAAATTGTATACTTTGATTTGATCTGATGCGATTTCTGTAATGAGATCATCCAATTTGAAGCCCGAAACGTTTATGATTGTCTTAAAATTAAGGGGAACATCGGTAACTTCAACAGAACACAAAAGACAAAGAAGGTTCACATTATCTAAGAAGGTACAAACTAGGCGACAGACAGTGCTCTCCGCAAAAATATCACGAATATGCCTCATTCAATTGTCGTTACTCAAATTGATGTGATACATTTACCAAACGTGCAGTCCTCATGATAGACTGCGGATGACACCACAGACTTTGTGAACGGGCGAGCTCGATTCCCCTATTCCTCTTGACTTCTTGTTGCTTCTTTGTTAAATAAAAACAGATGTCAGATTTGCGCGCATTTTCGTATTCGAAAGCCGTACATCACTCACCGGAGATCCGACGTGATATCGATTGTGTCATACGAGCGCTCAGTAGACTTTCGATAAAATGCAGCAGTTTAAGTTACTGTGCATCTATTTCAGCAGTTTGATCGCATTAGCCAGCCTCGCTTCCCTACATTTTTCAACATCTATACCTTTTTCGTTTTATTATGCACCTCCATAGTTTGTGTAAGAGCGAACCTCATTACCAGTACCAAAAATATGCGAAGTTCCTTCCGGGTACTAGTCTTAACCCCAGTACCACCTGGAGGTATAGCCAAATTGCACTCAACTATAACATAGGATCAGAAACTGCGTGGTTGCGAATGGGTCTTGTCATTTATTAGACGACTTGCACACGCACACACTTGTAATTTAATTTAGAGGTTCGTTAAATTATCAATTTGACCCCACGTGCTTATCTGCCACCACCAAACTGCCCATTCACAGCGGACACACTTTGTGCAAGCCCGGTCACACGAAGTCGACTCGCACATGAAGGTGGGACCTCGTTGTGACGTAGGGACGTTCTTTTGAAAAAGATTAAGCAGCAGGTTAGCTTTTAGTATGTTTGTTACCGGTTGTTCTGTCCTAATTTATCCCTATTGTTTGGTGTATGTACATCATTGCAAGATGTATGACTGGCAGATA